TTGTCCAAAGTACCCAACCGCGTGTAGAATTTGAACCCAGGGCTTTTGAGTCCCATATCTGGGCCCTTCCTACTTATACTAACTAGGTCTTGTTAGAGAAAAAGACAAAAAAGAAATTAGGAGTGTTCATGGCCCACATTTAGGACCAAACCTAGATGCTGTGTGTTGCTGAGCTCATGCAAGATGAAAAAGCCTTCACTGACACACAGACACAGAGAAGCTGAGTGGGGTTCGAAGTCACACTGGGAAACAAGGTTACATGACATTCCCTGAGTGCTGAGAATACAAGCAACGTATCCCTTTCCAATGCTGTTAAAGCCTTAGTGTAACGAGTCGCAGCGTACAGCAGCCACTGACAAATGAAAGAATAACTGGAGGTGCCTGCCACGCAGAGCACATGCACGGCTCGCTGTGACTCCGCTCTGTCTCCGCAGTAGACGCCAGGCAGCGATGGCCCAGGTGCGGTTGTGTGTATCGAGTTCCAATTTCCTTTCTGCTGCAAGTGCCAGTATCACAGGATAAATTCAGTTCACACTGCTCAGACTTATCTCTACTCCAGAGTCTGAAAGCTCTATCAAATGGATGGTTATATCTGCAATGTCCACCTCCCCCACCCCCCCCCACCCCCCACGACATATCAAGCTGTCACTGGGAGGATTTTTCTTTGAGATTTGAGATCAGATCTAGAGCTGTTTTTCCATCATGGCATCAGGACACACGTAGGTGTTTGATGAGTTTCAAGGTGTGACACACATAATAAAGCACCAGAGGCTCTGAATGGTTTCTTTTACTGATAAATCAAAGCAGATCCAAGATTACCATCCTCATCTTTTAAATTTGGTTGTATTTTTATAAAGGGAAATGTGGATGTCAAAATTTACCTACCACACTGACATTTGAAAATTCATTTAAAAGTATTCTCTATTTCCTGTGACAGTTAAAATTCCTCCTAAGACAGGTACCACTGGTCAAAGATATTTTAGTCTTTTCCAATTTGAGTTTCTTTTAGTTTAAAATCGTCCTGGAAAATATCAGAGAGGGAGCAATGCTAAGACATTAGCATGGAAAGTGTGCATAGCTACCCAATTACGTACACATGGAGACAGCTACCTGAGATTAGACATGTACATGTGGAAATGAGGGCCTCTTTTCCCTTCAAAATATGAGACTGAAGAATATAGGCTTGGTGCTTCCAATATCCATGTTCTCTGGCATTTGGAGAGAAAAAGGGGGGGTGAAGCGGGGGAGAGAGAGAGAGAGAGAGAGAAAACACTACATTGTTTACATTAGAACCCCTGGATTTAGCTGTTTGAAGATAGATTTACAGTGACTTTCCAGTTACATATGCTAATAAATTACCTTTTTGGTTTAAGCAAATTTCAGCTGGATGTTACTTAACACTAAAAAGTTTTGATTAATATATAGTTTGAATTGTGCTACAGTTTAGTGTTTTGGATGTACTGGTGAAGCGGTTTCCAAAGTTCTTGAGTCATAAACATGGTGTATATCTTCCTCTGTTTCTTCTGTGAAGGTCCCAGCACCTATTAATTTGATGTACAGTCTCTTGGTTACTTCTTAGCAACTTGTTTTTCTTTGTTCACGGTGAATCTCTCTTGTGTGACTGCCTCACATTGGTTTTTAGGATCATATCTTTATCCCTCTTCTTAGTCCAAATTTATAACTGATTCTGCATTTTTATATGGGAGATTAATGAATAGTCTCAAAAGTATGCTGAGTGCACAGACTGGTGTTCATTCAACCTAAGTAGAATATATTTTGTTTTGCATTGTGAATCAATTTTAATAGCTTAATTTTCTTTGGCAAAAATATGTTAAAACACCCTGAGCCTTTTAATTGACCACATGAATGACCAAAATTTTTACTATAGTTTAAGAATCCTTAACACTTCCATATGGTTATTTAATGTTTTATTATGTACAGCGATGAAATAATAAACTCTTGAAAAATCTCTTATTGGAATGAGGATTCTTTAACAATTTCTTGTAAATGTTTTTTCTTCTCATAGAACTAAAAACATTTGTAAATGGTGACCACTGTCTTTAAGTATTGCACTCCAGGCTCTGACAAAATTATATTTGCCAGAAAAAATATATACATTTATATGTGGCAATCAAGGAAATGAACATATAGTTTGTAAAATTCCCTTGACCTTTTCTTCTTTATTTTGAACCAATATATCTTTGTTGGTTAATATTTTCATTAGAGAATGAAATTTGAATATCACCAACAAAATGTGATTGGATTTTTCCTCTGGCTCACCTTTTGTTTCTCGGGGATGCAACTTAAATAGTAGACTTCACTCTCCATTTGAAGCCATCTCTCTTGATTATACCCACAGAGCTTGGCTGTTCATTGCACGTAAACCTCTACATATTCATTTCTAAAATTGTGAGCTCTGCCAATCTGAGGGTTCTGGACAGCTTAGATGGCAGAGGCAGCAGGAAGAATGCAGGTATAATCTACATACTGCTTTGGTAGATTTTGTTGGGAGAGGAGGATACTAAGATCTTTCTGTCTAGTATATGACTTTTAGGATCTGCAACTTCAGTTCACTGTGATTAACAGAGTTAATGGTCTACAAAGGGGAAACACTCCTAATTTTTTAACATCCTAAAGTAAATGGCTACTGTTTTAAACATAGAGATGAAGTGGCACCCAACTAGGATTCCTTAATGGCAAGCAACAGAAAACTAACTGTGGTTAACTTAAGTAGAAAAGAAAATTTAGTGGCTCATATAAAAAGAAAGTTCAAAGGGCAAACTAGTATATGCATAACTGAATCCAGTGGGTTACATTATGCCACCAGTACTCATTCTTATCTCTCAGAAAGGTTTTCTTTTATTTTGGCTCTGTTTCCAGTTAAGTGGTTTCCATATGGTATCAAAATTGGTCCCTGATGGTGGCATCCTCTATCCTTTTTCTGATCTCCTAATTTCAGAGAAACAGAAAATACCTCTTTCTTTCTTTCTTTCTTTCTTTCTTTCTTTCTTTCTTTCTTTCTTTCTTTCTTTCTTTCTTTCTTTTAACTAATTTTTTTTTCTTTTTTCTTTTTTTATTAATTTTTTAAATTTTTTTTTATCCCCCCCCCGAGGACATTTTTTTTTTTTTTATTCTCACCCGAGGACACTCTTCCATTCTTTGTACAGATAGAGTGGGAGGGAGAGAGAGGAAGGGAGAGAGAGAGAAACATCGACGTGAAGGGACACATCGAGTGGCTGCCACCCGCACGACCAACCAGGGCTGGGGACAAACTGCAACTGAGGCACGTGCCCTTAGCGGGAACCGAACCCGGGTCTCTCTGGACCGCAGGCCGACGCTCTAACCGCTGAGCCAAACTGGCCAGGGCGACATTTTTTGATATTTTGTTCAGATAGAGTGGAAGGGAGAGAGAGAAACATCGATGTGAAAGGGACACATTGTGTGGTTGCCACCCACACGACCCAACCAGGGCCAGGGACAAACTGCAACCGAGGTACATACCCTTAGTGGGAACCGAACCTGGGTCTCTCCGGACCGTAGACCGACGCTCTAACTGCTGAGCCAAACCGGCCAAGGCTAATTTATTTATTTTTGTTACAGATGTTTCTTCTTTTTCCCCCATTGATTCCCCCCTCCTCCTCCCTCCCTGCCCTGTCCCCAGCTTTGTTGTCCATGTCCATTGTTCACGCATATATGCATATAAGTTCTGTGGTTTATCTCTCCCCCACCATACCCTCTTCTCGGGATTGTCAGTCTGTACCCCACGTCCACGTCTCTGGGAATACCCCATTCCTCAGACTGTTATGTTCATTATATTCCACAAATAAGTGAGATCATATGATACTTGTCTTTCTCTGTTTGGCTTGTTTCACTTAGGATAATACTTTCCAGGTCCCTCCATGTAGTCTCAAAGGATAAGAGATCTTTCTTTCTTACCGCTGCATAGTACTCCATTGTGTATATGTACCACCGCCTTTTTATCCATTCGTCTACTGATGGACACTTGGGCTGTTTCCAGATCTTAGCTATTATAAATAGTGCTGCTACAAACATGGGGTACACATATTCTTTCTGATTGGTGTTTCAGGCTTTTAGGGTATATTCCTAGAAGTGGGATCACTGGGTCAAATGGAAGTTCAATTTTTAATTTTTTGAGGTAACACCATATTGTTTTCCACAGCGGCTGCACCAGTCTGCATTCCCACCAGCAGTGTACTAGGGTCCCCTTTTCTCCACACCCTTGCCAACACTTGTTTGATGATTTGTTGATGGCAGCCATTCTGACAGGTGTGAGGTGATACCTCATTGTTGTTTTAATTTGCATCTCTCTGATGATTAGTGATGTTGAGCATTTCTTCATATGTCTCTTAGCCATTTGTATGTCCTGTTTGGAGAGGTGTGTATTTAGTTCCTCTGCCCATTTTTTAATTGGGTTCTTTGTCTTCCTTTTGTTGAAAATACCCCTTTCTTAACTGTTTGAGCAAAATTTCTAGGAAGGACCTTATTGGGATAACTTTGGGTATCCCTGACACAACCACTAACCACAATGGCCAGGGAACAGAGCACACTGACTGTCAGGCTGGGTTATGTGGTCACTGCTGTGGGAGAAAGACAGGAGAAGTGATTGACAGCTCCAGGGGGTTTGGGACAAGGATCCATCAAAGAAAGGAAGAGAAGGAGGAGGAATTGGTTGAGATGAACTTGTGCCTTAGTGGTGATAGCAATGACTTTTGATAGGAAAAGGGCCATGCAAGGGGTCTGACAAATTGTGACCCATATTTGTAACTACTTTGTGTATAAAGCAGAGAGAAAAGACATGGGGAGAGAGAAGGCGGGTAGGGAAGGGAGTGAAGAGACAGGAGAAAAAAGCTTAGCAATAAGCCTCTGACACTTACCTGACTCACCCAGGTGGTTATTGCTGTTTCTGATTCTCTGCTGTAATTAAGACATTTCTAAGGTGGGAATTGTTTTCAATTCCTCTCTTTCATTTTGCCTTTTAGGTGGACAAAAAAATCGTAAGAACTGAGATAGGAGTTCTTCTTCGCCTCTCACATCCAAACATTGTAAGTGTTTTTTTAACTACTATTTTAGATAATCTCCAAAGTTACAGAATGGGATTTTTTTTTTTTTTTTTTTTTTTTTACTGTCCACACTGATAATGAAAAGGGGATTCTTCCACCACCAGTAAGCAGCCACAGTCACCGGTTCTTATCACATTTTTCCATTCTTTAGCTGAATAAATCTTAAATATAGAACCTTTTCAAAGAGTTTTAAAATGGACAGATCAGCAAGAACTACCATCTTTAGGCATAAAAGGATAGTTAAAATCTGTATAGCTTTGTTTCACTCTAATTAAACACAGGCTTTTTCCTTCCGTGTGTCTATCTTATTAATACACCAGTGCTGGAAAAGCCTGCGAAGAGAATGCATTGCTCTCCCAGGTCCTTGCAGCCTCCTCTGAGAGAGTATCCGCTTTGGAAACAATGTGAAGGTTCAAATGAAGGCTGCGTTTGAAAGGGGCAAGTGAAAGGTCTCCGAAGCTCTGCTCGAGCCTGTGTCCAGACAAAGGCACCGAGGGGAAGGTCTGGCAAAAAGCTCTCTTGAGCCAGTGAATTGAAAAGAACCAAGTCAGTTTCCAGACCATCACTTGTTTTTATGAACTGAGCCAACTACTTAAAGAAAATATTTTACTATTTCTCTGAGAAAGTGGTGTTCAGGAGGGTGACCCGAAATGCTTAGGCTCAAGGCCAGGTGCTTAAAAAAAAAACACTTAATTTACGAGTTAGCAATACATTCAGCTATTAAAACAAACAAACAAAAAAAACCAGAAAACTTGAACGTAGTGGTCTAAGCAGATAGTTTCCTTAAGTTATAAGAAATAATAAGACAGGCAGCTCCTAGCATGGTTCCAGCTCCTCAGTGGTGTCATGCAGAACCCAGATGCCCACCACCCATCGGTTCTGCCATCCTCAGCACATTCGCGTTTACCCTCATGCTGTTCCCTCGTTGTCCCAGAAATGGCCGCTCCACACCTTCCATAAGCCTTCAGGTCTGGATTAAAGACAGAAAGAAGTGGAAAGACCCCATAAGCAGAGTCTGATGAGAAGAGTAGAAGTTTTTCCCGAATTTCCAGCTGCAGCAGAACTGTCTTCAGATTTTATTGGTCATTGCTGGTCATGAGAGCAACCTGAACATCACAGAGACTGGGAAAATGGGGAGCAGGGTTATCCCAAGCGGCTCAGACCAGTCACGGTCCATGGTTTGAGGCTAGGCACCTTCCTTCCCTAAACAAATGCAGAGCTCTGTTTGCAGTAGAGTAGGGGGAGAAAGGCTTTGGGTAAACAATCAATAAAATTTGCCCCATACAATCACCACCTTCACATTGTCCATCTTTTTTCTTTCAAAGAAAAGTCAATGTAGAATTTTCCTCATATATAGATCAGTCCTGTCACCAGATTCTCAGATGTATTGAGGAAACATCCCAAACTGGATGGATTCTCTGTGATGAAAACCCTATTATGGTCAATCAGGTTATGGCCACTACTACTTTTTTGAGGATCCCTTCATCCACCAGCAACTTTTTAGCAGTTGCGGGATATCCTTTCATAAAGACATACTTTCACCTGGTGCTGCTCTGTCTCAGACCCCTGATTCCAAGTTCCTTCCCGGGGGTAAAAGGTATTCATATTTCCAGCAACCATGATGTTTTCGAATGGTTCAGGGAGTTTTGTTTATTTGCTCTTATTTTGAAATTCTGCAGCATTTCAGAAATTGTGGTACTTTGCAAAAATTAGAAAGTGTTTCTAAAGCAGGTATCTTCCATCTGTCAAAAGGAATAATGTAAAAACTCAAAAGGACCTTGAAGAAATGAAGTCACTGATAAAAACGAGAGTGACAACTGGCTCCCAGATACTAGCATAAGGACCCTTTATGAACAATGATCCAACCTATTACTATTAGAGTTTTGTTTTAGCCTTGGCTTTAGCTATTTCTCAGAAAGGTGACAATAAGGAATTTGTGATATGTTTTATATCTTTTTCCAGATAAAACTTAAAGAGATATTTGAAACCCCTGTAGAAATCAGCCTGGTCCTAGAACTCGTCACGGGAGGAGAGCTGTTTGACAGGTGAGTTGGTCGTGGGAATCCAGCCACTGAAAGGCTTTGCTTCCCGGCACCGAAAGAAGAATCAAAGGGAAATTTTTCATAAGGAAACATCATACCAGTTAAATTCTACTAAAATATATTTTAAGAGCAGTGTGGGATGGAAAGTGACATCTGATCAGATGTGAGTGGATGAAAAGTTGGGATGCTTAGTGAGTAAAAAGGGAAACTCTGTAACTATTTACTTTTGCAAACATTTACTTCCCCAATAGAAAACAGAATTTCTAAAATGCTAACTCTAAACTAACCAGTAAGATTAATGATAATATTTTGTGAGAAAACATTTGATAAAAATTATAGAAAGTTAAATTTGTGATAATAATATCCTCTAGTATGATCCAAATGTTCTTAAAAATCAATACTCTTTTTTTTTAAATTTTTTATTTATTCATTTGTTTTTGTTACAAATGTTTCTAAAAATCAATACTCTTTGCATGATTATTTTGAGGCCCACTTTTTCTATTAGGCTACTTAAAGAGATCCAAGTTGCAGAGTATAACATGTTCTGCTATATGCAATAATAACCAATTTTAGGTGTCTGTTCACATGTTCATTATTCAAGGCAGAGTTTTGAGAATGGCAGGGAGTATGCCTGGAAAACTGATAGAGTATTATATAGGCAAACTGTTTATATAAGAGACACAAGCTTGCCCAGCCGGTGTGGCTCAGTGGATTGAGCATTGTCCCATGGACTGAGAGGTCCCTATTCAATTCCCTGTCAGGGCACATGCCCGGGTTGGTGGCTAGATCCCCAGTAGGGGGTGTGCAGGAGGCAGCCGGTCGATGTTTCTATCTCTCTCTCCCTCTCTCCCTTCCTCTCTCTTTAAAAAACAACAACAACAAAAAAAACATTTTAAAACGTAAGAGAGACACAAGCTTTAAGTCTCCACAGCTTTCCCACCTGCCTCGTCTTCTCAGGAGAATTTCCTGTTTGCCCTGATGGTCTCTTGGGACCCCTTTGTTGTGTTCATTCAGGTAATAAAAAAAAAAAAAAATTGGAAGAAGTCAAAGGATTAAGTAGGTATATATTAGAAACAGTAAGAAGTTATGCACAGAGCCTGGCCGGTGTGGCTCACTGGTTGAGCATTGACCTATGCACCAAGAGGTCGCCGGCTCGATTCCCAGTCAGGGCACATGCCCAGGTTGTGGGCCCGATCCCCAGTGGGGGGCATGCAGGAGGTGGCCAATCAATGTTCTCTCTCACCGATGTTTGTATCTCTCTCTCTCCCTCTCCATTACTCTCGCTCTAAAATCAATAAAGAAAAACATCTTTTTAAAAAGAAGTTATGCACAGATATAAAGGTCTTGTTAGTTGAAAAAATTGGTTAAGAAAGATGTGGGCTATAGACAGAAGATAGAAGAGAGATTGAGGTTAACTGCTGATATATCTTAAGTGCCCGGAGCACAGTAAATTCTCAATAAATATTTGCCAAATGAATGAATAAATGAGCAACCACTAAGATGAGTGGACTCTGAGAAGGAAGATATCTAAAGGGGATAGGTTTAAAATGTGTTGGGAGAGGAGCACGTCTCACCTTCATTCCCACCCCAACTTCACCCAGTTAAATTTGCTGCTTCTTCAAGAGCTTCCAAAAGTATTTATATTGTTTTTCAAAGGTTCTGTTTTCAATATTACCCAATGCAGATTTGGATCTTCAGGTAGGAAGGAGCAAAATGGCCCAGCTTGATTGGAGTTACATATGTATCTTCAACAGACATATAATTTGTTAATACATATGTTGAAGTTTCCTTAGAATAGGTTATATGAATATCAGACTTTAAAAGTTGTAACAGGTGAACTATATTCATACATTGCAAATAAATGAATCAACTGAGGGAAGTGGGCATCAATTTTTAAACAAATACTTCTTGGCAATTTGCTGATAGTTATATTCAAGATTTCAAATGCTGACCTAAGGGACAAATAACTAACCTAGAGTGATTTGCTTAACTTCTCTGAAACCCAGAACAAATTTGAAGCAGTTCTACGATGCTAAGGAAGCCAAGACACTGATCCACTCTGTTGCTGATCTGACACAATCTGATCACTCTGGTTATATAAGGGCAGTCTGGATCTAATGCCATCATGTTCCTATGCTTCGTCAAGGCTCTTCTGGACTAGCTTATTTGAATGTTGCCAAAATTTGTCTACAGTGGCTTCTTTTTCAACACCTCTTTAGCTGACTCTTTCATGAACATATTCCTTCTTTAGTTACAGTTAGAGTCAATGTATAGTTAGATTTGTAGCCATGAGGTCTTTTGAAGGTCTAGCAGAGAGAAATCTCATGTTCTTTAATTGTTAAATAATTGTAGGACAGGTATGTCACACTGAAGCTATTGTCTACCAAGAGCACTTGCTATTTACCTACCTACCTTTATTTGTTCAAATTATTTCGGAATCAAGAGTCTCTTTCCTCCCCTCTTTCCCAACTTTTCCTTCATGAAGGAATTCTGGTCCTCTTATCTTGTAATCTAGTTGATTTTGATGAGATAGAGTTAATTTAGTTTTAAACAAAAATAAAAAACTAAATGCTGTTGATAAATTTTATTAACAGAGATAATGGATGAAATAATCAAAATTAACAGAAAATATCTCAAGAATGGCAGATAGCCAGTAAAACACTCAACTACTCTATAAACTCTTAGTTGCCTTAGACAATAGACTGTTTCCTCCCATTAATGTTGTTGTCTGCGTGTCTGTTGCCATATCTGAGATGGACTTGGTTTCTTCATTAAATTACTTAATTCTACAGTTATCTTTAAAAGTGTGTCAAGCTGAAAATACATCCTTCATTATTATCTATGCATTGTTTTCTTTCTTGAGAGTTAAAAATCATAATATAAAAATTTACCCCTGGTCTAATGATGGCCTTAATTGTATCTAATGAATGAACTAATGGAGCAATTGATGAAAAATAATCATATTAGTACTTTATAGGCAAAATAGTTGTATTTTATTAGCACTAAAAGATCTATTCTGCGGTGCTTCTAAAAAACTAAACAGAAAAAAATCCAGTGGGATTTGCCATTTCATGTAGAGTATAAATAGTAAATTGCATAGGATGATTGATTAAAATTTTTGGAATAAAATCAGTGATTTTGTGTGTGTGTTTGTCCAAGGAATCCCCCCTTCAAAAACAAAAACAAACACCTCTACAAAATTACGATAAAATGAAAAAGAGAGCTCCAGAGGTTTTCTCTTCCATCTTGCTCCATCGAGTCATGACTCTTAGAAATTTATTAAATGTGATCCACAAAATAAATAAATTAAGAGAAGGGACTAAAAAATAGAGAGAGAGATAAGAATCAATACACAAAAGAAATATCATAACATGCTTCATATTTGCTAGAGGTCGGGCTCGGATATGGTTGTGAGGATGCACGTAGGAGCCATAAATGCTGTAATTGGGGCATAAACACAGTACAAGGGGCAGAGCATAGGGGGTCTTCCAAGTCCGAGATGGCTTCAGGGAGGAATGAAGTCTTTTTAGCTGAATCTTAAGTGAGAAATCATAGGTCAGCAGGTACAGGGTGGAGGGAAGGACAAAGTGATGTCCAAAAGCAGAGCACACTGGTGGGGTTAGATGTGAGTAGCTCACTCCCCAATTTAGAAGCTGTTCTATCAAGGAAGCAAGCAGTTGCTAGCTATTTGTCAAACAAGTGCTTGAATAAACAATGTGCTCTTGGGCAGTTTATATAACATCTTCGGGTCAGGCTTTTAATTTATAGTAGCAGAGAACTGAACTAGGAATCCCTCATCTACATCCCCAGGTCTATAGTTTGATCTGCCCTCTGCCCCACTTCCCCTGCCCCATCAACTCCCTGGCCAGCACCCACATTGATCCACAATCTCCTCACTCTCTCCTTAGCTTTCAAATTTAGCAGATGGTAACAGGACCTTTGAGACTCTCTCTCTCTCCCTCTTTTAAAGTATATGAATTTAATATTCTTTGGGAAAGTTCTTTAAAAAAAGCATCAATACAGACCAAGGGGCCACCAGTGAAATAAGAAGAGGTGGTAAATCAAGCTTATAAAGGAGCAGTGGATTTAAACAGAAACAGCAGAATTCATTTTAATGTCTGGTTCTTTTTAATGTGACAGCATAATGATGTCCTAGCAGTCCTTTAGACTTGGTTCCTGAAACCCCTATTATTCGGGGCTTTTACCCTGTGTCATTCCATCCTTTAGTACACATTTTCATAAGACCAATGTCTTTCTCGCACAAACCTACAGTCATCTAATAACAATAACATCTCCATTTGAGAAAAAACGGCCACTGGTGGAGAGAGCAGTAAAGCCCCCAGCGCACATGCCAGGAAGTCGGAGGGCCCCTGGCTCTGATCGAATTAGAGCTCTTCAGCCGCATCGCCTGAGCTAACTGCCCGGCTGGAGATGTGCTCAATTCAATTTGCAGCAATTAAGGTGACAGAAGCAAATGCACAAAAGTCCAATTTTAAAGCAGATCCATGGAGAGGGATGGGCATCGCCTGTGTTTTCTCATCCTACAATTTTAAAGTGATGGAAAGGAAAACAGTCCCAACTGCGGGGAAACAGGAGCATGTGGGCAGACACAGCACACAGTGGAAGGAAAAGGCCAGTCTGGCATGGGCCTGCGGGGGCCATACTCACAGCCTAGGAACCCAGGAAAACACACACCTTGCTGTGCTGTCTTCCCAGATCTCCAGATGTTTGCTAGATGGGTTAGCGACTCTGGGACCTGCAGGAACTGGGATCCCGGGGCAGCCTTTTGGGTCAGTGTTGTGATTAAAATCCTAGGAGAGATTTTGTTTTTAGCATCGAGTCTTCTAGCCCAGCCCACATGGATCCACAGGAAATTGTGTGGCATAGCAACGAATTACATGGCCCCAGGCCCTTGAAAATGATTTTAAGATGCTGGCAGCATTGTTACTGCCTTCTTATTATTTTACAAAGCATGAAAAGGAAAATAGTTTATTAAATCTGAA